ATATCCGCTCCGGACAGGCATCGAGCACTGATTCCCCGGTCGTCCAGACAGTGGGCTGGTCACTAAACAGAGTAAGCCATCCCGGCTGCAGTGAATGTTTAGGACCGAAGAGAACAAATTAACATGAAAATATCAGTTATAATAATTACGAAGATTCCTTTAACAAAATGTAACTTGTCATAAAATAGTGATGAAGAAATCCCCTGAAGGTGGCTCAGGGATAGACGAAACATGTGAATGATATATAATGCACCGATCACGGGGACATAGCGGTAGCGCTCTAGACTCGTATTCGAGATGTACTCGGTTCGAATCTTACCCTCGATAACCACTATCCTGACAGGTTTTTCTTGGTTATCTTCAGCCCCTCCTGGCATATGCCTGGACAGTACCTAGATTAGGACACGATTGCTTGCAAATCCATATCCTCATTCATCTCTCATGCCACCATATAGTCTTGTTACTGATTATCTACTAGCTGAAACTGCACGCAAAAGAATATAGTCCAGTTGCATTTGACACTTTCTTATGTCATTTGTACTGATTGAACAGACAGTTTATGTGAGTCGCAAATAACCTCCCTTCGTCTGAAGCGTGTGTCCAGTGGTTGTGATTGGTGTGTAAGAAGTACCTGAAGACAACACGGTCTTCGGGGGATGCTTTCAGAGCAGTGGATGAGTACCACATTGTTATGCCTCTGTTTTCGCTTGCAGATTTTGATCGTGCGGGACAAATCTGTTCAACTTCAGACTACTGAAGGGCCTTACTGTACCTCAAGCCTCCACCTACTGTCCCGATTATAAAGAATTTATATATATAGTTTTTTAGCGTCCTCAAGGATCCCGACCATGTTCGTTAGCGTAATGAGGCCAGTAAACACTGCTGATAAGTCGCCGTTGATTAAATATCAGCCCCTGACTTCATGCCAAATTATGTCGACAGTCTAAAGCAGGGGTCTCTAAACTTTTCGAACCGCGGGTCACATTAGGAAATTCAGCACTTTCAACGGGCCGGATAAGATGAGAAATTAATAACTCTAGGTATATGAGTTTTATTGAAAGCACAAAATTTCATAAACTAAATACAAAGTACGTGAGAATAAATTATCGTATATTAATGACAACAGAGAGTAGCAGCAAGTACTCATATTTTCATCACAAATTATAATAAAACAAATAATGCACAGG